CATACTGTCTCACACGCTCTCATACTGTCTCACACGCTCTCATACTGCCTCACACTCTCACACTCTCTCTCACTTTCTCATTGTCTCACACTCTCATCCTCACACTCTCTCACTCTCTCACTCACTCTCACTCTCATTCTCACACTCTCTCACTCTCTCATGGTCTCATTCTCACACTCTCACATTCTCACACCCTCATACTGTCTCACTCTCACACTCACTCACTCACTGTCTCTCTCTCTCTCTTTCACACACACACACTCACACACTCACACACACACACACACACAAAGACACATTTGCACTTACAGACTCAAACACAGACACATAATGTCACTTTGTTTTTGGTGATGCTGGTTGAGGGATGGACAGTGCACCAAGGAGCAGTCCCCTTACCTGTGATTGAAAGTGTCCCTTCATCTTTAATAACCTCCGAGAGTTGTAGCCAGAGCCTGGCTTTAACTTCTCACCTGAAAGGATGACACCCTCAACAGTGCAGCACTCCATCAGTGCTGGTACTGCTGTGTCTTACCGCTGGCCTTACTGTGGAGTGAAACATTATCTCCTTTCATGGATATGATGTAAATGCAGCCCAGATGTAGAATCAGTGATTGATGTGGGAGTCCCTCTCAAAGTCACATCAGGCCCAGCACAGTCTGTTGGTTTAGTGCTGATGTGAAACATTACCCAGTTGAGTTGCAGAATATGTACGCTATCACATTCCTCTGGTGCAAAGTGAAGTCACGTTTCTCAATCATGATTTTTCTTCATTCCTTCGTGGGATGTGGGCATCACTGACTGGTCCGGCATTTATTGCCCATCCCTAATTGCCCTGGAGTGACTAGATGGTTTGCTGGGCCGTTTCGGAGGGCAGTTAAGAGTCAGCCACATTGCTGTGGATCTGAAGTCACATGCAGACTGGATAATGAGGGTGGATCTCCTTCCCTGCAGGATGTTAATGAAGGAGGTGGATTTTACTGACAATCAATGATAGTTTTGTGGCCATTGTCACTGAGACGAGCTTTCAACTGAAGATTTTATTAACTGAATTTAAATCCCACCAGCCACCAGAAACCGTGCTTCCACAGCATTAGTCTGGGCCTCTGGATTACCAGGGACATTATCCAATAAGTCACTCACCTTCCCACGGTTCCACTCGTATCTAAACAACCTGATGTAGACAAGCTATGACTCTCGACCAATCACATGGAAGCTTTCACTCATGAGTGGTGCAGATCTGTAGATCCTTGTCTATTATTAGTTCACCACCCCCCCCCCCGCCTCACTGAAAGTGAGAGCTTTCAGTCAAAAGGCTGGTAGCCCTTTCCCCTGTTGTAGAATGAGGGGATCCAGCCCGTGGTCCATCATCATAACAGGAAAGCCATTACAGCCACTGCCTTTATAGGGCTAGCTGTCTCTCAGTGGGTCACAGTCTTTCCTCTGAGTCTGAAGGATGTTGTTTCAAGTCCGGCTGTAACTTTACAAAATAAGCTTCAAGGCTGACACTTCAGGGTAACAATGAGGGAGTGCTGCACTTTAGAAGGTACTGTCTTTCTGATGGGATGTTAAACTGAGGACATACCCCTCAGGTGGATACCAAAGGCCCACATCAAAGTGTCTCAGCCATTACTAACCCGTCACTGTGCCCCATGACAAAAAAATCATCAAATCTCTACATTGGGGAAACAGGCCATTCAGCCCATCAAGTCCACACCAACCCTCCAAACAGCATCCCACCTGTACCCATTCCATCCCTGGGGATCTGCATTTCCTATGGCTAATCCATCTAACAGGCACATCCCTGGACACGATGGGCAATTTAGCGTGGCCAATCCACACGGCTTCGGACCGTGGGAGGAAACCGGAGCGCCAGGAGGAAACCCACACAGACAGTCACCCGAGGGTGGAATCGAACCCAGGTCCCTGGCGCTGTGAGGCAACAGCGCTAACCACTGAGCCACTGTGTCACCCAGTGTTGGCATTATCACATTACTTACTGGTCATTACAACGGTGATTCCATTTTGGAAGTGCTTCATTGGGAATAATGTGCTCTGAGTGTTACTGTGATGGCAAAAGTTGTCATAGATATTGGCATTTTTTTTCATGTAGCTGGCATCTTAAGCAGTGATATACTAACAGGGTTGAGGGCTCTGTGGTGCAGTGCTATCTTTAAGCCAGGGTTCAAGTCCCATCTGCCTCAGAGATACATTATACCAGGTCTGAGCAGGTTGGTTGATAAAACAGTAAATATAATTACAGGGAGTATTGAAGAGCAGAAGGTAGAAAGGAGAGAAATTTCTTTCATTCCAGCCGGTTGCCCACCTTGGATTTAGAATTAGCTTTATTGTCACATAAACTTACATAATTACAGTGAAAAGTTTACAAGTTGCCACTTACGGTGCCATCTTAGGTACCAAGGTACCTAGCTACAGACTCTTAAGTACAAGTTACATCCTGTGATGTAACTGTGTCAGTTCAGTAAAAGATGGCATTGCGGAAATTCCCAGCTAAGTTTTTTAGTCTATTACCATGGATTTCAGATGAGCATGTTGTTAGCTGTGCATTGACATTACAAAACAGGGAGGAGGTGATAGTTTGTGTTTTGTTGTCTAAACTCTCTTGAGGAGGACCGTGTTTATAAATGGGTAACTACAAAAGGGGTAGAAAGCTAGCAATTCAATCATTAACGCTGTTCTGTACCTGAGCATCATCGATGGCATGACAATTCAAGTGTTGCAAAACCTGAACTTTATTTCATTAATTCTGCAAGAGCATTAAGAGGTGAAACAGTGATTCCTAAGTTGTAGCTACGGTTACAAACTCCAAGGCTGGAACGGTTGCTGGGCACCTCCCACTCAACTGGGAAGACCCTTGAAATGCTTGAGTTTCCTTTTGTCTTAGTGGTCGGCATGGACTAATGCCTGATCTTTGAAGCCTGATTCCTGCCCTGAAATGTCAGTGAAAACAGGTATTTTTACTCTGATAGAATAATGCTGACAAAATGCATAAAAGTGGAATGTGTTCTCTTCCCCGATCTCCTACAGACACTGATCCTCAGCAGCATGCAGGCCTCAGGTTTCATGGAACCTGCTGTGATCCATGGTGAGCAGTTGTACAATTACAGAGCTCTGTGTGGAGTTTGCACACTCTCCCCGTGTCTGTGTGGGTTTCCTCTGGGTGCTCCGGTTTCCTCCCACAGTCCAAAGATGTGCAGGCTAGGCAGATTGGCCATGATAAATTGCCCGTAGTGTTTAGGGATGAGTGGTAGAGGGGGATGGCTTCTGGGTGGGATGCTCTGAGGGTTGGTGTGGACTTGTTGGGCCGAAGAGCCTCTTTCCACACTGTAGGGATTCTATTCTATGATTCTATGATAAAGAGTCATCTCGACTCGAAACATTAGCTTGCTGTTTCTCCATGGTCACTGTCTGACCCGCTGTGATTTCTGGCATTTTTGTTTTCAGTGCAGATTCCAGCTTCTGCAGTAATTTGCTCCTACATAGGTATTTTTAAGATCCCTGAAGTTTCGACTTTCTCCCACCACTCTCTGTCCAAAATAAAAACCGAAAGAACTGCGGACGCTGTAAATCAGGAACAAGAACAGAAGTTGCTAGAAAAGCTCAGCAGGTCTGGCAGCATCTGTGAAGAAAAAATCAGAGTTAATGTTTCAGGTCCGGTGACCCTTCCTCAGAACTGTTCTGAGGAAGAGTCACCGGACCCGAAACGTTAACTTTGTTTTTTCCTTCACAGATGCTGCCAGATCTGCTGGGCTTTTCCAGCAACTTTGTTTCTGTTCCTGATTTACAGCATCTGCAGTCCTTTCGGATTTTATTAAGGATGTAGGGTAGGTCATTTCAGACTGAGATGTGGAGGAATTTCTTCACCCAGAGAGTAGTGAACCTGTGGAATTGTCTGCCACAGAAAGTGGTTGAGGCCAAAACATTGAATGTTTTTAAGAAGGAGTTAGATATAGTTCTTAGGGCTAACGGGATCAATGGGTTTGGGGAGAAAGTGGGGACAAGGTGCTGAGTTGGGAGACCAGCCATCATCATGTTGAAAGGTGGAGTAGGCTCGAAGGGCCTAAGTTTCAAACTTTCAATTGAGATATCTTCCAGTTAAATAACTGCTAACTTACACTGTTTCAAAGATCCAGCATGGGTACAAGAGGCCAAATGGCCTCCTTCAGAGCTCCAGGTTCCTCCTGATTCTCAGTGAGCTGTTAAGATGCTCTCCGAGCAGATTTTCCTACCTTGCCTGACAGTTTTGGCAATCCACAACACTCCTGGTGATTAAAAGCCAGGGGATTCTGGTTAGAAACTTTGCTGTTTAATTCAGGATCATTCACGTCTAACTTTGCTCTGCCGTTAGGTCGCACGAGTTTTTATGAGCAGTACGGTGTCATTTGCGACGTTGTTCAGAACCACCTGACGGAAATTCTGACCTTTGTCGCCATGGAGACCCCAGCAAACATCAGCGACTCGGAAGAGATCCACAGAAACAAAATGAAGGTGTACGCCAGCTTGGAGAGACTGGAGAAACGGAGCGCAGTGACCGGCCAGTATCAAGCGTACAACTCCGAGGTCAGGCAGGAACTCCAGAAGCCAGCTGACTATATCAGCACTGTCCCAACATTCGCTGGTGGGTGTATTCTTCACTGAGCATAACCTCCCAACCCCCTTCCCAATGCCTGGTGTGGCCTTTACTAGCTCTCCTCCTGGTTACCTTGGCATGCTGGTGCCCGTTAGAGTACAGGTCACACTCCTACCACAATACTGCTGTGGGTGATGTCCTTATGGCCACCTGCACCCATCATCAGTCTTGACACAAAGAGCCAAGTCTGCAGTGTATGGGTAAGGTCACCATCATCCTCCAGGGCTGCTCTCTCGTTGGTCAGAGGAAGATGGTGGTGAGATTAACCTGAGGATTACCACAGCTCAGGGAAGCGGAAGAGTTTAGGAAGGAGACTCCTTCATTGTAACCTCGGTTGGGGCAGGATTTGAACCCACACCGTTGGGGTCACTTTGCATTGTAAGCCATCCGTCCAGCCAATTGAGCTAACTGAAGTGGGGCTTAGAGATGCCAGTGTAAAGAGGGCCAACAATCTCTCAGTGCACTCGGAATCAAAGACAACAGGAGCAGGAGTTGGCCATTCAGCCCATCAGAATTGCTCAGGCATTCAATATTATTGTGGCTGATTCTCTGTCTCAATGCCACACACTCACTGTCTCCCCGTAACACAATGCTAGCTCTATGCCAACACCCCGACTCCCTCTCCCCCACCACACCCCAACCCTGCCTCTACCTCCCACTGCACCCCAACCCTCTCGCTCACCCCATGCCCTGACTCCCTCTCTCTCCCCACACCCTGACTCCCTTTCTCCCACACCGCTATCCCCTCTTTCCCCCCACATCCTGACTCCCCCTCTCTCCCCCAACACTCTGACTCCCTCTCTCTCCCCCACACCGCTACCCCCTCTCTTCCCCCACCACACCCCGACCCCGTTTCTTCCCCCCACACTCTGACTCCCTCTCTCTCCCCCACACCGCTACCCCCCTCCCCCACATCGCTACCCCTCTCTCACCCCCACACCCCAACTCCCTCTCCCCCACCACACCCCGACCCCGTCTCTTCTCTTCTCCCCACCACACCCCTAACCCCTCTCTCACCCCCACACCTGACTTCCTCTTTCACCCTGACCCCAACCCCCTCACCCCCACCACACCCTGACCCCCTGTGTCCCTCCCACACCTTAACCCCCTGTGTCCCTCCCACACCCTGACCCCTTCTCTCCCCACCACACCCTGACTCTCTCTTCCCCACCACACCCTGACTCCCTCTTCCCCACCACACCCTGAC